TCCGACTCCTATACTGTGTATAACTAGACTGTTAGCCCCTCCAGGGCGGAGAAAGGCTGTCTGACTGGTAGTAAACTAGGTCGGCTTCTGAGATGTAGGAGGAGTTGGCTAAGTTGTCGACTGAGCTCAGTTAAACAAAAAGCCAGATGGCGGGCAGGCACTGGCTTTTCATGGTTGTTCCAGAGCGAACTACCCATGAGTAGTGCTTCTCCCATTGCAGAGCCATAAGAATAGTTATTTCATGCTGGGGGTGAGTTAAGACATCGGGAGGAAGGCTGCTTTTAAAAATCTGTCTGTTGGACAAGATGGCTCCCAGCTGGCTGGGCCACACCACTCTTCTCCCTGGCTTTCCGTGGCCTGGTCAGGGGCAGGTGAACAGACAGAAACACAGAGGGAAGTGTGTGTCATGGAGGGAGAGAGCAGGGAAGCGCAGACCCCTGTGGGGTGTAAGTGTGAGCTGGTGTGAGAGAGGGAGCTCGTGTGAGTGCGCATGGATGTGTTCAGGTGTGACTGCGTGTGTTTGAGCATTAGATGTGTGCTGGGGCATGTGTGTTCAAGCGTGAACATGTGTGTTCGGGTGTGAACACGTGTTTGAGTCATTAGGATTGTGAGCGTGCTCAGTTGTAAGCGCGCGTTTGAGTGCGAGTGTGTTCGGGTGCGAGCGCGTGCGTTTGCCTGTGTTGGTTGTGTGCTGGGGGTCTGAATGTGTTTGCGTGTGAGCGTGTGTTTGCTGGTTGTGTCGGTATGAGTGTGTTCGGGGGTGCGAGCGCGCACGTGTGAGTGTGTGTTGTGGTGTGAGCGTGCGCTGCAGGGACGGGTCAAAGGGCAGTGGTGGTGAGGGAGGAGGGACTGATGGAGGAAGAAGGGCAGGGCCAGCCCAAGTGTGGAATGTCACTAGAGCGGACGGACAAGAGGGAAGGGAATGCCCCCACGGCCCACACACATCCAAGAGGCATCAACAGCAGGAAAGGAACTGACTTTGCCAGCAGGTGGAGAGGGAAGCGCGAGTAGGGGGTGTGATTAGGAAGAGGAAACGCAGTGACCCATCGGAAAGACTTCCCGGTGGCATCACACTGTGGACTCGGGACACCGTGGCTGGTCTAGAGCTGCCCTCCTGGGGCCCCGCGAGGTGGGAAGGGCCAGAGCCCCGGGGGGGGGGGGGTGGGGGGACATGGTGGGCACGGCCCAGATGCCGGAGTGGGGGCAACGCCAGGCAGGTGCTCAGGGAGGTGGTCACCTGCCAGTGCGCGGACAGAGGGTGACCCCGGGGTCCCCGCCTGCGGGCTGCACCCTGAACCTGGAAGGGGAGTCCCCGTGGCCCGCCCTGCTCACCTCCCGCCTGCCAGCGAGCACCAGGTGGGTGGCTCTTGACCTCTTGAAAAAAAAACAGGGTCATTTCCTGAAACAAAACCAGGTGAACTGAGCCAAGTCAGCCGGTAATTCCTACCCCTTGCAGCTGGCCTCAGCGCCAATGTGGAAAACTACTAGGCTGCAGAAAGCTTTCCCGTAGTGAAGCTTTCAGATTTGATATATAAAACTGGACAGGGGATACTGGAGAGGCTGGTCATCCCATGAACCTGCACCCAGCTGCCATCTCCCGGACAGAGAACTCTGCTTACGACGGCCATGGTGACCCTGCCTGTGTTTTTTGTCCTTTTTGGGTTCCATGAGCCAAAGTAAGTTTTAGGGGAAAAGGCATGATTTATAAATGGCAACTCTAGAGTAGTAACCACACATGATGATGAATGACAAGGAGGAAGTGCCCTAGGGCATGCGGGCGTGGGGAAGAGCGAGGTCTTAGGACAGATAAAGACAGCCAAGAGGTAGAAACCACCAAGGCGGTGCGGGGGAATGTGGTGCGGCCATACCCCATACCAGGGAATATCATTGAGTCTCCAAACAAGGAATGGGATCCTGACACCGCCAACAGCACAGATGAGTCCTGGGGACGTTATGCGAGGTCAAACGAGCCAGTCACTTAAGGGTAAAAGCCGCGTGACCTGACCGAACTCACGTGAGGCCCCTAGAGGAGCCAAACTGATAGAGACAGAAAATAGAGCGGAGGCTTCCAGGGCCTGGGGAGTTAGGATTTCACGGGGACAGAGTTTCAGTCTGGGAAGACGAGAAAGTTCTGGAGGCTGGATGGCTGAATAACAATGGGAATGCACTTAATGCCACTGAACTGTACCCTTAAAAATGGTTAGGATGGTAAATTTGTGTATTTTTTACCATAATTTTGACAAGTCAATAAGGAAAAAAAGAGAGGTAGGCTGTTGTTAGCAGTCTTTTGCAGAGGCCAACATTCCCAGAGCATTTACAACGGGGAGCAGGTCTGTGCCAGGCTCAACGTGGGGTCCACCGCCCAGGTTCAACACACCCCACTCCCTGGACGGCCTCCTCCAGGGGTGTGCAGACCATATGGTCCTTGGCTCGAAACCCCCCAACCCAGGCAACGGAGCAAAGAGGAGGGCACCGGAAGCTTTATTATTATTATTATTAACTATATATTATATTACATATTATTTATAATTTAGTAGTAGTAGTAGTCTTTTTTTATTAGTAGTATTATTAGTATCAGCAAGGGGCACCTGGGTGGCTCAGTTAGCTAAGGGTCTGACTTCAGCTCAGGTCATGATCTCACAGTTCATGAATTTGGGCCCCACATCAGGCTCTGTGCCAACAGCTCAGAACCTGGAGCCTGCTTCGGATTCTGTGTCTCCCTCTCTCTCTGCCCCTTCCCTGCTCACACTCTGTCTCTCTCTCTCTCTCCAAAATAAATAAACATTAAAAAAAAAAAAGAGTATCAGCAAGATGTTGACTGGCAGTCATTATAATAAAAGCCACCGCCATTGAGGGCCTACTCTGTGTCAGGTGCTTTATACACATGTTTAGTATTCAAAGCAAGCCAGTGAAGTAGGTATTCTTAGCTCCCATATTAGGTTATAGGCTGAACCATTTCCCTGAAATATGTATGTCAAAGTCCAACATCTAGTCCCTCAGAATGTGACCTGATTTGGCGATAGAGTCTTCACAGAGGTGATCAAGTTAAAATGAGGTCATTGGAGCAGGCCCTGATTGATACGACCGGTTAAACTGCTTCCTAGGACTGCCTTACCAAAATACCATGGCGAAGCCTGGGGGCTTAAACAATGAAAATGTATTCCTCACAGTTCTGGAAGCTGCAAGTGCAAGATCAAGGTTCTGACTGATTCGGTTTCTAGCAAGGCTGTCTTCCTGGCTTGCAGAGAGCTGCCTTCTTGCTGTGTGCTCACACGGCCTTTCTCTGCGTGGGTGTGTGCGTGCATGCGTGTTTGTGCGTGGAGAGGCAGAGAGAAAGAGAAAGTGTGCTCTCTCGTGTCCCTTCTTACAAGGACACTACTCCTGCTTGTTTTCTGAGACCAGGGAGCACAGCCAGATGCATGCAGAAGTGGTGCAGAGATTCCCCACAATTCGGAATACAGCCTAAGTCAAGTGCACCTGCTTCTCAGGGTTCACCCTCATGTTATAGGAATCCACAAAGAGGATTCGATGGGGTTGTTTGCTCCCATTCAACATGGCGGACCTGTATCAGGTGGAAACTCACACCAAGCCCAATGGAACTCAATTGGTCTTCTTCTAGGTTTGTGCCATGGTGTGATTGTCACTGGCCTCATCCCTTAGTCCCTTACCCCTGGTGGCCCTGGTATCCCTGTGGGTCTTCTGTTACTCCCAACACACACAGTACAATCCACAACAGCTTTGTAGGGGGAAACCTATTGCCATCACCATTCTTAAAAAGCAACAGGCATGTAAGGTTTTTTGAGACTTTTCCAGAAGTCTTTAGGAAACAGACTAATTCCTCCTGTAACCACACTGATGTATTTGCCGGATCTCTCCTTTAGATAAGTGGGAGCATTTGACATATATTCACCAACATACTGAAAGTTTTTTCTCACAGTTTCCACAAACCTTTTACAATCCTAACCTTACCAACCTATCAGCCCTTCCCCTACTACATACTCATACATACATGAGTGAATATGTAAATACTATTCACTTAGTATTTACACATCCAGCGTTGTATAACAAACCTTCATATTCCGGGGTTTTATTCCTCACACGCTAACCCTGTTAGCTTCTATTGCCTCATTTTACAGATGAATACCCAGAAACTGGAAAGGAAGAATATCTCAAGACCATACAGTTGGTAAATACCCTTGAGGGCAGCCTGGTGTCCGTGCAAAGGCTAATTCCTACTCATCCTCTGAGCAGGGGCCCTGGTACGAATGAGGAACACCCACACTACCAGTGCGTTCCAACTTGAGTCAAATGGCTGTGGTCGGGGAAAATTCTAGTCATGTCAGAGGGACTTTCACGTTTAAAACAGGGTCAGTGCTCCTGGTGGTCAGACTCTAGGGAAATGGACTAGGAAATGCTTCTGACGTCATGAGACGCAAAGGACTCCGGGACTCTGATCTCTCCCAGTAGATGAAGTTTTTCCATGTGGAAAGAAAGCAGTCACCTCAGATTGGTCAGTGGCCAGTGGGAACCATCCCCAGAGCACGGTAGACGTCACACATGGAAAATCGGCCTGCATCATTTTGTCCAGTCGCGGGAAGGGCATCCTTGAATGACTCCGCGGGCCAGATGTATGGAGCAATGGGCTTCTACCCAGTCCCAAGGGGGGGCCTTGCAATTTAATGACAACCCACAATTGTAAATTTCCTTTAGTTCATTTGCTTGTTTACGTTTAGGAAGAATTTTTTTTTAATGGAAAACCCAGCCAAAAAGGAAAATACAACTTGGGGTTTTTTTGTTTGGTTTTAGCCTAAAGACGATGGTTTTCCATTCACATGAAAACATACCAGCTTAACATTTGCACTGATTTCTTTGGACTTCTTTCAACGAGTTATACTGTTTTCAGGTAGCAAATACTTATCAAGCACTTGTTACATGTGTCAGACATAATGCAGCGTTTCACCTGATCCCTCCAACAACCCAGCAGGGAGGGAACTGTTTACCTCTTCCCCATGCTGCTGATGAGGCCAGCAAAACTTGGAGACACTCTTGCCCAGAGCCCGGAGGTCCACGCTTATGTCACCACAGGACACGGGAGCGAAACTCCACACCTCATAACTTTCCTGTCTATGCCAGCTTCATTCAACCTGGAAATAAGCACATTTTAATAGCAACCCTAAGAATTATGATCTGTTGCAGATTATATGTGGGCCCCTAACCCTGTTTTAGTTATATTCCATAATGCTTTTCTTCCCAAGACCTTCTTCAGACCTCACCGTGTGCTTTCTGGGGCATGATTCTCCACTGTTCTGTGAAAACAAAGGCACGACTGCACGGGGGATGGCTGAGGCTTGTCTCCTCTGAGTCCCCTGCCTCTGAAAACCCCATCCATCACAGGACTCAAAGGCCAGGCTCTCTGTGATTCTCCTCTTTGCAGCTGTCTGAAACTGTCCCTTTGCTTTGTATTTCCAGCGAATCTCTTACCCCTGGTGTCCAAAGAGAAAGCAGAAATACCTATTTCTAGGTATCTTGTACAGTCCACCACATGTCAGCAGGACCCAAACCGGTTGTCTTTGCAACAACCAGTCTCCTCCTGAGAGATGAAAGCCTGTGCCACCCCAAGGCGGCCACCGTATCCTCAGAGGAAGAGCTGGCCCAGGTCACTGGTGCGTGAGATTATGAACATGGGTGGCTGTGGCAGAAAATGTGGGGTGGCCACACACAGGCCAACTCCTGCTTACCACTGGGAGCCATTGCCAACCTTGTCCACACAGCCTGGCTCAGATTCACCTGGCAGGTGTTCAAGGCAGAGTTTCTGGGATCCTCTCAGACCTGCTGACCCGGCCTCTAGAGGATGGGCCTGGGAGATTTAGTGACCAGACCATCAGGGATGCTAACCCCATCGTCTCCCCGCAGTGTGCAGGGCTCTGCGCAGAGCTAGGCCGATGGAAAACTCTGGCTCAGTTCTGGCAGCAGCTGGGAGGCAGGAGGGAACCCGGAGGGATGTGGGATGCGGGCAGACACAAATCCCCGCAGGTCAAGCCCGGGCCTTGCATCCACAGCTTCTCTGTAAAGTAGGTCCCAAGGCAGAACCGAAGACCCGGGCCCACTGGGTCTACAGTGCTGTCCCCACCCAAGTGGGGGGCTGAGGCAGGACCGGTTTCCGTTAACAAAGACACCTGCCCGTAACTTCGATTTGCTCTGTGCATCTTTGGATTTGAACTCCTGGCTGAGGGACGTGGATAAACGTCTACTTTATCTAATTCCCAGCTCATATGCAGCCTCAAGCGGCCGACAGCCACAGGGACGCCTCTCTGCGCCGCACCAGCTGGGGCCCCGACCCAGGGGAGTGGTGTGTGACCGCCCCCCCCCCCCCCGCCCCTTCCCGGGAGGGCCGCGGGAGAGAAGCCAGAAGGGAAGTCAAATCTAGAAAAGATTTGCAGAAAACGCGCCAAATACAAACGCACCAAATCTGGACGCGGATCTGGGAAACAATATGGCGCCGAAATAATGCGTGGGGCACCGGAAGTGGAGTGTTCTCGGTGAAAATCAGCACAGCTCCACCCCCACCCTGCAAAGTGCACGAGAACCCGGGCGCCCCGAGCGGGGCCCGTGAGACCCGCAGCTATCTGTCCCAGGGCGGCATCGGAAGTTGCTACTGGGTCTTGTTTTGCACCCGGGCATTTCGGGCCGCAGCGCCCACCCCCCCGCAGGAAGCCCCGAGCTGCTTGTGCCTCTGGGGTCCCTGGAGGGCTCGGGCGCGGTGTTTACGAGGCTAGCTGTAAATCCCTCAGAGCCGGAGCCTGCCCAGGGTCGCCACCTTCCTCGTGCAAACCGTGCAGACCTTGCAGACCGTCCTTCCGGGCGCGCTGCTGTGACTTTCCACCGGGGCCGCGCTGAGCGGGCGGCGGGGCTCCAGCGGGCTGTGCCCCTAACAAGCTCCGCCCACCGGGAAAACCAGCAAGGCCTGGAGTCCAGGATCAAGAAAGCACGTTTCAGCTGCTCTGCACTTCACTTTGATCGCCTTTTGATAGTGGTTTTCTTATCACATAAAGGAAGAGGCTTTTCCTCGCCCCCTAAAATACCACCGGTTTGTTCTGGGCTGCCTCCAGAGTAGAACGTGTGGAAACCATCACACCCTAAGGTTAAGCAACAACCTGCGAGGTTGCTTGGGGCCTGCGGGGTGGTTGGATCCCTGAGGTGGCAGCTCATTCATTCGCCTCCTCGTTGGGGGGCATCCTCCTATGCGCAGAGCTGTGGCCAGATGCTTCCAGAGAGCGGCGCCAAAGCCCCGCTCCCCTCCAGGGGTCCCCACCCCACCTGGAAGCCACACAGACCGTGTCTCCGTCCGCCCGCTCTGCTGCTGTAACAAAATGCTTCAGACTGGAGGCCTGAACAGCAGACGTGTTTCTCAGCTGTGGAGGCTGCAAGTCTGAGGTCAAGGTGCCAGCAGGTCAGGTGTCTGGGGAAGTCCTGCAGCCTGGTTCACAGGCAGTGTCTTCTTGCTGTGTCCTCACATGATGGAGAAAGCCAGCTCTGGTCTCTTCCTCTGTTTACCAGGTTGCCAATTCCATCCCTTGACCCCATCCTCATGACTTCTTCTAACCTAATCACCTTTCAAGGGGACCACCTCCAAATGCCATCACATTGGGGGTTAGGGTGTTAACATTAAATTTAGGGGGGACACATTCAGTCCATAGCAAACTGGTCATGGGGTTTAACAAGGAGTGATAGTGTTAAAGAGGGGCTAGTCAGCTCAGCTTAGGGAAGACAAACCCCTGAGTTGGGTTTTGAGAGATGTGTAGGAGTTTGTCAAGGATGAAGTAAGTAGCAGACCAAGGGAAAGGGAATCCCAGCCAAGGATTTAGGCGGTAGCAATTTTTCTTAATTGTTCAAAGAGTAAAACAATGGACAAATCCATCCAATAAATCACTCCTCCACAAAGCATTTAACTCACTCAAAGGGGTGTCCCTCGTGAACAGCATTGAGAAGTGAGTCCGTATAGAATCTCCAGAGCGACCATTCCACTGTAATGGACCTTAAGAGATCTCCAGACGGATGGACAAGTATTGAGTTACTTTCAGAACGTCAACAATAAGAGGTATTTAGATCTCAGTGATTTGGGATGGCAGGGAGATATAAAAGCCTCGGTCAAGGCCATCTCAACTTGCCTCTGTCTGGTGCAGGTTCACTGTATACGGGATGTGCCTGGAGAGCTAGCCTGAACTGGTAATTAAATACAAGTGTGGAGGGGGACACCGAGAGGCAGGCCAGTCAGAGGGAGAGCATGCTGCTTTTCTTTTCTCTTCTTTTTTTTTTTTTAATGTTTTTATTTACTATTAAGAGAGAAAGAGAGAATGTGAGCAGGGGAGAGGCAGACAGAGGGGGGAGAGAGCTGACAGCACAGAGGCCGAGGTGGGGCTTGAACTCATGAACTGCGAGATCATGACCTGAGCTGAAGACAGTTGCTTAACCGACTGAGCCACCCAGGTGCCCTAATGTTCCTTTTCTGCTACCACACATACATTGTAGGTGTGAGCGCCACCTGTAGACAGTGAGGCCTCCGAGGTGGAGAGGATCTCTCGTTGAACTCTGTATCAGTCAGCTCCGGCTGCCGTAACAAAGACCACTGACCCGGGGCTTAACCAACAGGAATTTACTTGCTCACAGTCCTGAAAGCTGGTGTGTAGATGCCATCTTCTTGCTGTGTCCTCACATGGTCCCCTCTCTGTGCACACACATATCCCTGGGCTCTCTTTCAATTCTTTTTTTTTTTTTAATTTTTTAAATGTTTATTTTTTGAGAGAGAAAGCCAGAGCATGAGTGGGGGAGGGGCAGAAAGAGAGGGAGACACAGAATCTGAAGCAGCTCCAGGCTCTGAGCTGTCAGCAGAGAGCCCGACTCGGGGGGCTCGAACCCACAAACCGTGAGATCATGACCTGAGCCAAAGTTGGACGCTTAACCGACTGCGCCACCCAGGCGCCCCTCTCTTTCAATTCTTATAAGGACCCTGGTCAGATTTGATTAAGGCCCAATTCTAACGACCTCATTTTACCTCCCTCATCTCTTTCAAGACCGTATCTGCAAACACAGTCACACTCTGAGGTCCTGGGGTCAAGACTCCAACATATGGCTTTGGGAGGACACAGTTCAGTCCATAACAGCTCCATGATTCCAGACCCACCTGGCACGTTGCAGAGGGGAGTGTTGACACATATTCATTCACTCAACCCAACGTCCTTTTGCGTCCACGGCACTCCCGTCGGCCCTAGAAAAATGGGCTAACTTGTCAACAGTGGATTTACATAGACTAAACAGCAACAGGCACTTCGAGGGCAGAAAAGGATCCATGAACTGGGCTGGGCTGGGCATTTGAGCGTGTCCGAGTGCTCCGGAAGGAGGTGGTCAGGAGCTCCTCTGTGCACAGCTCCCTCCTGGGGAAATGCCTGTCTGGTGTCCCACCTGCTGCTCATCCCCTGGGTTTCACCCTGACCGTCCGCACAGAATAACACCGCCCTGCAGACAGATGCCCCAGCCAGAGCGGATAGGGACAGACTCACTGTCTCCCCCTGCCATCGCCACCAACCAATCTTGGCCCTGGTGCCACGGGTGGCAAAAACAGACAGAGCCAACTGCTTGCTCACTGACCACACTTGCTTTCTTCGTCGCCCATGCAACACCCCCACCGCAGGAGCCTGCCTGAAGGGACCGAGGCCATGAAAAGCAGAGAGGCACCGAAAGACAATGTGGACGGCACAGCCCATCCTTTCTGGTTGAGTTGGGACAGCGAGGTCGTGCGTGTCCAAGCCACAACTCCCCCGAAGGAAGATGTTGTGCAAGCAGAAGAACAAGTAGAAAGCAGAAAGAACCGGCAGCAGGAAGCGTCAGCTGTTCTCCGGGGCCAAGTTCAGTCCTGCCCGGCAGGTGCACTCTGCCGGCAGGAGAAGGTGGGCCCGTGTTTCTCCACCAGCTGCATACGGGTTATAATGCAGATCACCTCGCCCGCGCCCGCTCTGCGGGCAGAGTACAAACCCACGTGTGCAAACAGCTTCTCAGTTAGCTGTCGGTAGTTCCGTAGCTGAGAGCGAGCTTGTGGATTAACTGTACTTTTGCACAGACGCGAGAAATGACCCAGCGCAGCA